TCTCCTCCCCCACTCCTGCCCCCAAAAAAAAAAAAAGGATTCTAAGAAATGATCTTGGGGGGTTTTTTGTGTTTGCAGGTAAAATTTATGAAGACCATTCCTGGCACAGCACTTGTAGAAATGGGTGACGAGTATGCTGTAGAAAGAGCCGTCACACACCTTAATAATGTCAAACTCTTTGGGAAAAGACTTAATGTTTGGTAAGTACTTGTCATAACTGTTAACAATGTTTTGAAATTCTTGTTAACTTAAAGAGTGTTTTGTAGTAACTGAGCATACATCTGAAGGTAGCAAGGTCAGTATTATTAATGTTGACAAGCTGTAGTAGTTATATTATTCTTCTACTTTTCTAAAGTTCTGTTTGTATGTGTACATGAATGCAAGTACCCAAAGAGTCCAGAAGAGGGCATCATATCCCCTGGAGCTGGAAATAGGTGGTGTGAGCCACCCAGACTTGGTGCTGAGAAGGGGTCGTCTGCAGTAGCAATAAGAACTCTATGAGCCACCTCTTAATCCAGATCTCTCCTAGTTTTTAGTGTTAGTACCATAGAATGTTAAAACAGATAAGTTCTTAAATATTGTAACAAGTAAGAATGATTGATTATAACCCAAAGTGAATACAAGTTGGTGTATTCTGTACTTATTTTTTTTCAACCAACTGTATTTTAAGAAAATATTTGAGAAAAAATTATCTGTGCAGAACATAAGCATACTATGCGTTAATGTAACTATATACTTAGCATTTATACTGTGTTAGATATTAGAACTGCTCTAGAGGTGATTTACATTGTACCGAAGGCAATCAAGTCAAGCATAGTGGGCATAGACCTGATTCCTTCACTTGGGAGGTGGAGGCAGGAGGCCGGCCTGGAGTTTTTGAGACCCTGTCTCAAAAAAATACAAAAGGGTAAATAATACAGAAGGTTCTGCATGGGTTATACGTAAATACTAGAGTATTTGATAGACTTAAGCATCTGTTTTGTTTTTTCGCTTGGGGGGCGAGGGAGTGGGGGGTGGGGTTCCTGGACAAATCCTTTGGATACCAATGGATACTTTTGTACTGTGCTTAAATACTGTGTACACCTTTTTTTCACAAAAGTATTTTTGTGACTACCTGCTGCTACTTATCTAACAAGATATTTTTCTTTTCTAATCTTCAGTGTATCTAAACAACATTCAGTTGTTCCAAGTCAAATATTTGAGCTGGAGGATGGTACAAGTAGCTACAAAGATTTTGCAATGAGTAAAAATAATCGCTTTACAAGTGCTGGCCAAGCATCTAAGAATATAATCCAGCCACCCTCCTGTGTGCTGCATTATTATAATGTTCCACTGTGTGTCACAGAAGAGACCTTCACAAAGGTAGGCACTGAGGAAAAGTGGATAGAATGTTGCTCTTTGTGTTTTAAGTTTCTGTGACATTTCATAGTTCAATCTCATTTTAAAACTTTTCTAAAAATCCTGCTTTTTTTGTTGTCAGGCTAGATAGAGGTCAGTGGTGGTAGGTGTTTTCTTCTGTTGATTTCCACCTTGTTTATATTAATGAAATTTGCTTTTAAAATTTCATCCCAGCACTCGGGAGGCAGAGCCAGGCAGATCTCTGTGAGTTTGAGGCCAGCCTGGTCTACAAAGTGAGATCCAGGTCAGGCACCAAAAAGTATACAGAGAAACCCTGTCTCGAAAAGACAAAAAAACAAAACAAAACAAAACAAAACAAAAACCCATAAAAACCTTCCCTTCACAAAAAAATTAAACTTGCTTTTAAAATTCATGAACAATTCATAAATCTGTCGTCTTTGGGGAAGGTCCATGTTCCTATTCTTTTTATCCAACTTTAGTATATGCATTGACAAAGTGAGCATTACATACACTGTGTTTTAAAGACAGGGTCTCTTACTGAACCTAGACCCTGCCATTTGGCTGGACTGGTTAACCAGAAGCTTCTAGGATCTTCTTGTCTGCAGAGCTTGGTGTATAGTCCTGGCACTTGGAAGGCTAAGGCAGGGGGATTGCCATGAGTTCAAGGCTGTCTTGGGTTACATAGTAGGAGTCTGGCTCAGAAACAAGAACGACTAAAAAAACAAAAGAATAAAAAGCAACAGAAGTTCCTTTACTGTAAGTCTGACCTACAATAAAACGTTGTATTCCCTTCCCTACACCTTGTTTAACTGTAGGAGCATTTCAGGAACAGTGTGCTTTCCTGGAGTAGTACTTCCGTTCTTCAGTATTTAGTTCCTCTTCATACAATCCGAGAAAATGTATTATAGCTTTAAAAAACTGTTGCTATATATGAAATGATTTCCATAGTTTAGAACTTTATAGTGACCTGAATGTGCATTAATTTCTGTAACAGTAGAGGCCTGACTGCTGCTCTTCAGCAAGGGTTTCAAAGAGACTTCTAGGTAGCTCCATTTCTGACTGGTGTTCCTTTCCCTGGCAGTTGTGTAACGACCACGAGGTCCTCCCATTCATCAAATACAAAGTGTTCGACGCGAAAGGTGAGTGAGCACCTCTGGAAAGACTTTGCAGGAAGCTTGCTGACAGGAAAGAAGTAACGGCTGGGTTTGCATTTGCTCTGTTCCAGCTTCTGCTAAAACCCTCTCGGGGCTGTTGGAGTGGAAATGCAAGACTGACGCCGTGGAAGCCCTCACTGCACTCAACCACTACCAGATCCGAGTCCCAAGTAAGCGCCAGGGGGTTTAGTGCGGATTGCCGGAGCCTTAGGGAGAGAGGGGTGCTCAGGAGAGAGAGCTGGGCTGCAGGGACTTGGGGGGTCTGAAGCAGTTCATCTCCACAGGGTTAAAGAAAATAAACCTTTAAAAAAATTGAGAACTCATGGAGTTGTGTTGGGGCTTAATAAAGACATTTTAATGTAGACTGGGCATGGGTGAAAAGAAGGAAGAGAAATGCAGAGGGAAAGTCATATAACAAAAGCTAAGGATCGAGACCTCTCTAGAGGGAGTATTCCATAGTCTTGTATCATCAGACTGACAGTGATTGTGATCTCAGTAGGGATCTTTGTGGATTTGGATGCTGGGAATTGAAAGAAACTTTATCTCTTATGTCAAGTTGTGTGTTTTTAAATTTTTATAACACAGAAAAATGGGCATAGAATCCCACAATACAATCCCTGTATGTCTGCTGCTGTATGCAAATTACCATAAGATGAAGCAGATTAAAATAGTAAACATTTGCTGGACTGTAATGGCACATGCCTTTAATCCCAGTTTGAGGCCAGCCCAGTCTACAGAGTACCAGGTCAGCCAGGGCTCTACAGAGAAATCTCGTCTCAAACAGAAACATTTGTTAACTTTCTCAAGGTCAGCAATTTGAGTGCAGTTCAGCTGAATCATTGTCTCATAAAGTTGTAATCAAAGTGTGTGATTTTACTATCATCTCCAAGTTTGATTGCCTGAAAAACTCACTTCTAAGCTTACTCAGTAATTACAAGCCAGTTGAAGCCATGTGGGTCTTTATATGGTAGCTGGCCTCCCTTCAGAATGAGTGATTCAAGATTGATTAAGAACATCATTGTTTTTCATAATTTAATATTGGGAGTGGTCTAATTGCTTATTAATCTGTTTTGTCTTAGACATACCATGGTGCAGTTTAGTCATCTTCCTTTGTGTCTGGGATGCTGGAATTAAAAGTATATGCCATGTGTGGCACTAAAAGTATTTTAGCAGATTTGGAGTTGCACACCTTAATCCCAGCACTGAGGCGTTTGAGGCCAATCTCTTCCCTAATGAGCCCTTTGATTAGTTCTGTTTATCTTAACTGCAATAAACATGTTTCTCTGTGAAACTGTCCTGAAACTCACTCTGTAGACCAAGCTGGCTTTGAACTCAGAGAGATCCACCTGCCTCTGCCTCCTGAGTGCTGGGATTAAAGGCTCATGCCACTACCACCTGGCTAATAGCTGGCATTTTTAATTTTTCAGCATATTTTTATTATTTGGGAATTTCATGTGATGCACCCAGATAACACTCATTCCCTGCCCTCCCAGGTTCACCCCCTCAGCCTTGTGATCCCATTCTCCCCAACCCTCCCCAACCCTCACCAAAAAAAGAAACAAAACAAAAATATAGAAATCCAATTTGTGTGGCACATATTCTCACTGGAGCATGGTCAAACTCTCAGTAACCAGCCCCTTAAAAAAGTCCTCCCCACCTGTACTCCTGCCAGAAGCCCATGATTATGGAGAGCTGTGCATTTTTACTGTGTATTTATAGGTCAGTTCCCTTACTACAAGACATTGAGGTGTGTATTTTGGCAAAATGATTGTCCTTTAGGAAGGTTGTGATTACATAGCCATCTGTGATACATTGACATAAATGCCCGTTGCCTCAGCATTCGAATATGGAGTCACACCTTGAGGTTTTACCAGTACGATAGCTGACAAATGATATGCCATTGTCTTAATTTGTTTCCAGAAAGGTAAATTTCTTTGTTTCTGTGTTTTGGTTTTCTTCATATGTTATGAAGAACTAAGTTTTGAAGTTTTATGTTGTATAATTTACTTTGATCCTGGACCTCGAGGGTATACAATTTCATCTTCGAAAAGCACTAGCTAGGTGTAGTACATTTGTAATTTTAGCATTCAGGAGGATCAAGAATGTGAGGCCAGGCTAGGTTATATATAAGGCCCTATTCCAAAAATTAAATAATAAAGAAAAGTATGGCAAATATGAATATTATTTAGTATGGTTATAGGGGGAAAAAGAAACAAGACAACACCCTGCAGTTCCAGGGACAGCCTGGGCACCAAATTGCATGACCTCATTGCAGTTAAAAGGAAGGGTAAAATTTTAAAAATCATTTGAAGGTTTTATAACACCCAAGTTTTTGTGAAGGGACAGGCAGAAAATAATACTTCCAGCACTCGGGAGGTAGAGGCAGGTGGATCTCTGAGTTTGAGGGCAGCCTGGTCTACAGAGTGAGTTCCAGAACAGCCAGGACTGTTACACAGAGAAACCCTGTCTCAAAATGCAAAAACAAACAAAAAATTAAGATTCTGTACTCTTGGCAATATGCTCTATGTAGGTGAACTCTGCTGCGACAGCTGTTTAACCCTGACATCATTAATCTGCAGTGATGAATTAATTCACTTGAGAAATTAGTATGTTCTTAACTTAGAACAGTAGGAATGTAGTTAGTAAGAGACTGTTTTCTAGAGCTTACTGTCAGGTCAGGTGGTTAGTCTTTACCTTCCTGGAACTGGAGAGATGGCACCCACATTAGCTCACTGGAACTCCAGTGCAGGGTCAGGCACCAGAGATGCACATGGTATATTTACAGATGAAACACTCATACACATAAACAAAATTTTATAAATTGCCTTCTTTATATTCCTGTTTCCAGTACTATACCTATAGAATAATTTACTAAATCAGTCTGACCTCAACATTTTGATGGAATATTAACTTCCCTTTTTTCAATTTTACAGATGGCTCCAACCCCTATACATTGAAGCTTTGCTTTTCTACATCATCCCATTTATAAGAAGAGAAGAGCATGTTAGATTTACGTTCATCTTTATTACAGTTTTAAAGCTATACTTCATTAAAAATATTCTAAAATGGTTGATCTAATGTTGCCTTGCTTACTATAAGATCCTGTTCTGTAATAAACATATTTTGCCTCAAGTAAATTTGTTGTTAACTTAAATATTGTTTTCATCTTAAGATAGAATACCATAACGTAGACTGTCTACAGCTTCATTGTAGATTTTTACAAACGTATGATTTCTAACATTATTACAAATTTTGTTCCGTGGTAAAATATATTTGCATTCTTAGTGCTGATTTGTTGCAAATGTTTTCCCATTGTGTTTGAGATTAATGCAGGTGAAAGTATTGCGTTTTAATACAGAATTCCGACAATAGAAGATTGAATGTTATAGTTACTCATTGAACATAATTTGTATTTATTATTTTAAACAAATTTGAGAATGATATTGCATTTGTTGACTTTCCAGAAGTACAGATTTAGCTGATTTCAATTTCTAAAAGGCTTCATAGACATGAACACACTTGTACGGTATGCATTCAAACTCAACTTGGTGTGTTTCTTTTCAAAAGTCATCATCCATTTGTATTGACATGTTTCTGTTTTAGTTCCATTTTGGAGGTTTTATAAAGTTATAATAATAAGTTAATGTGTTCATCTTCATTATTTTGCATGTGACCCAGTCTTAAAAGTACATGTAGTATTTGACATTGATATTTTAATACTATAGAGGTTAAAATTAATAATAATTCCTCTTCTATATAATAATTTGGGTCCCATAGATGGGTTTCAGAGAACTTGTTAGCCCTCCCAAAATTGTGTGTAGAATTTGGGATATTTGCATTTTTATTTCTTAATCTTTGATCCATCATAATATATGTATTTTTCTATATGGTGTAAGATTTAAGAATTTTATTTTTGATCAAACAGCTATTTGTCTCAACACCATTTATTAAACATTCTCCCTCTGGATTGGTTTCTTTCTCTTTTAAATAATCTTATACTAAGGCTGTTACAAAGTTTATACCTTTTTAATAATTAGAAAATGGATATAGCCTTTTTGTTTTCATCTTAAAAGAAGTTTTCATCTGAGTAGTCCATAGTTAGCAGAAGCAGTTTTGTAACCTTTAGATTATTAAATAAAAATTTCAAGTTCCATTTAAATCTTAAAAAAAAAAAGACATTCTTTTGAGACAGGGTCTCCTCTACGTATCTCTGGCTATTCTGAAACTTTTCTTAGAGCTTGATGTGTAGACCGGGCTGGCATTGAACTCACAGAGATCTGGCTGCCTCTGCCTCCTGGGTGCTGGGATTAATGGTGAGTGCCACCACACCTGGCTCTTCATTTCTAATTTTAACAACAAAAATTCTGAGTTCTTTTAGAATTGAGTCAAAGGCTTAAAGTTGAAAATCTGTTTTGTTTGTTTAAGGTTTTTTTTTTTTGTGTGTGTGTGTGTGTGTGTGTGTGTGTGTAGCAAGAGTGTATAATGTGCACAGTAGTACCAACAAGCCAGATGAAGGCATTGGATCTCCTGAAACATGGATAATAGGCAGCCGTGGGCCATCCAGTGTGGGAGCTAGAAAGTGTAGGATACTAACTAGGTTGTGTATTTTTTTCATTTATTGTCACTTTAATACCTAATTATACCCAATGGCACCATAAATAAATTCATTTATTTTGAGTTTTTGAGACAGGTTTTCTCTGTAACAGCACTGGCTGTCTTGGAACTCTAATTCTGGCCTCAGTTCATAGAGATCTACCTGCCTCTGGCTCCCAAGTGCTGGGATTAAAGGCATGCGCCACTACAGCCCGACCATAAGCAGAAAATTTTAACTTGCTATCAGCCTCAATTTTAAGAGGTAATTTGTAGATGTATGTAATGACCTTTTTTTTTTCCCTGCCTTTGAAAACTTAATGTGTGTTTTCAGTGTTAGAGATTTTTTGTGTGTGTGCTAAGATTTCAGGAAATAAACACATGGCTAACGGCAGAGTTTAATTTAGAGTTTCATGAGGTGGAATTGACTGATCCCTTGTCGTTAATGATTTCTTCCCACAAAATGACAAGTGGATTCTTCCTGGGTGAGCTAGTATCTAACAGATGCTTGGCTGTGTGATGCCATGGACTGCTGTCACTGACGCGCTTGAGCATCCTTGCCCTGCTGTCTGGACGGAGTTCTGTGAATGCTGCCTTTCCCAGCCTTGAAGCCATTCTTTCCATCTCAGCCTCCTCATAGAGGACGCACAAGAGAGCACTTTAGATTTTCTAAAATGCAAGGTAGGGAGAAGGGTGGGTACCCGGGTGGACAGGTAGATACTGACTTACATCTGTTTTTAAGTGATTTTAAATACTGAATTTACATCTCTTCAAATCGCATTACATATTTATAATCTGCCAAATAGGGGTACAACTGCCTTTTAAAACCTCTCCGGCGCCAGGCAGTGGTGGTGCACACCTTTAATCCCAGCACTCGGGAGGCAGAGGCAGGCAGAGCTCTGTGAGTTCGAGGCCAGCCTGGGCTACCAAGTGAGTTCCAGGAAAGGTGCAAAGCTACACAGAGAAACCCTATCTCGAAAAAAACAAAAAACAAAAAACAAAAAAACAAAAAAAACCAAAACCTCTCTGGCTCCTACTGTGTAATAACCCTGTCTTGATACAGATCCTGTTCCAAATAATAGTCTCAGGATGAATAGAACCCATTATTTTTATGTGTTCAAGGAAAGCAGAGCTGGCTTGGGAATGTTTTGCCTTTGTGTGTGAATGGTACATAAATTGTAAAGCCAGACAGTAAGATCATCAGGAAACCATCCTGGAAATGTCCTCCCCTCTACCAGCTGTGACACATTGCATCGAGAGAGAGAAGAGAGAGTTTGATTGGTTCAAGAATTCAGTGCTGTTTTCTGTTTGTTTTTCTTTATTGGTTTTTTAGACGGTCTCACTATGTAGTTCTGGCTGTCCTGGAATTTACTGTGTAGACCAGGCTGTCCTCAAACTCAGATCTGCCTGCCTTCCAAGTGCTGGGATTAAAGAGTGTGCTACCACCGCTCAGCTCTGTTTTGTTTTTGTGAGCAATTTTTACTACTTTTGTCTTGTGTGCCATGGTGTGCATGTGGGTGCCAGAGAAATACTTGTGAGAATCCATCTTCTCTTTTCCAAGGATTGGATGCATATTGTCAGGCTTGGCAGCAGGGTCCCTACTTCTTACCACTCTTACAGGGGCCCTGCTCCCAGGGCCTCATGCATACTTGGCATCTCCACTACTGCCCAGGTACACTCAGCTATTACTTTGTGGCCCTGCAATTACACATACGGAAAGGTCTTGAAATGACACGGATAAAAGAGGTACGGTTCTCAAGTGTTTTGTTTTCTGAGTTAATTAGATTGGTTTTTAAAATGGATCAATGTATTGTTTTCTGCACAAGTTTCACTTTTGCAAAGCCATTTTAGTGAACAACAGGATCAGACTGCCGGGACCCCATAGCATGGGAAGTGCTTCAGAGGATCCTTAAAGCTAGGAGCCACGTGGAGTGGGAAAGTTCTGTGCCAGTGTGTGGGGAGCCAGCTGAGGAAGTGGCTGAGCAGTGATTCTGTCCTGGCTGATGGCAGTGGCTGCCTTTTATTCAGGTTGTGGGTGTGGTAGATGGGGACAGGGCACGAAGGGATTGCCATAAAGGGAGGGTGGTGGTGGTGGTGGTGGTGGTGGTGGTGGTGGTGGTGGTGGTGGTGGTGGTGGTGGCGGCGGCGGCGAACATAGGCAAGCCTTTCTGAGCATGAGGAAAAGTCAGCATTAGCCACACCTGGTAGCACGGGCCTGTATCGTAGATGAATTTTTAAATGGTCTTATCATTAGAAAACCTGACAGAGATCAGAGGAATAGGAACAGCCACATGCTAACCTCACCTCACCAACTCCACAGCTTCCAAAAGGCAGGAGACTTCAGTCTACTCACGCCTGTATGCCTTGCTGTTCTGCCATCTGATTTGCTCTCTTTTGTCCAGCTACATCACTTTCTCTTCCTGCCCAGCTCTGTCACTTTCTGTCTGTCTGTACAGACCTCCATGGTTAGCTAGTGTTGGCTGTTAGCTGTGTTACCAGCCTTGAACTCACATAGATCTAGACACATCCCTGCCTCCTAAGTGATAGGGTTAAAGGCATGTGCTACTATTGTCTGACTTCCTTATAGTGGCTGGCTTTTTCCTCTGATCTCCAGGCAAATTTTATTGGGAGGCACAGTGTATTCCAGTTGTTTAGGAGGCTGAAACAAGACAAGTGAGTTCAAGGCCAGCCTGGTCAACTTAGTGACACCATGTCTCAGAATTTAAAAACATGCAAGGGTACCTGGAGCAGGGCTGGGGACAGAATACATGCCCAATGTAGATGGGACACTAGATTGAATCCCTGGCACCCCCACTTAGAAGCTAGAGGTCGCCGGGTGGTGGTGGCGCACGCCTTTAATCCCAGCACTAGGGAGGCAGAGCCAGGCGGATCTCTGTGAGTTCGAGGCCAGCCTGGGCTACCAAGTGAGTTCAAGGAAAGGCGCAAAGCTACACAGAGAAACCCTGTCTGGGGAAAAAAAAAAAAAAAAAAAAAAGAAGCTAGAGGTCTACCAGGGTCTAACTTGGGCTGGTGGCGGGAATCACAGGAATGTATTGGGATGCACTTGGTCCTCAAGTCATGTGCTTTGAGAAAAGTCTAAACTGAAGATTGGTGGCCCCAATGAAATCTCACAGACATTGGCCATAAGTGGTAAGTGGGGTTGGTCCAGAGCAAGAGGGAACATTAAAACATCAAACTCAATATAAAAAAATGAGAACATTGACTTGGTTACATAAGAGAGATGGTACTAAAGTGTTGAAGTAATCTGGAATAGAATAACAGCAATCTAAACCAAAAATTCGACTGTACGTGTGTATGTTTTGCCAAACTCCAAAGTTTCTTGGAAGAACATTCCTTTTGTGTTAGCAGACAGGTGATGGGACACCTTTTATAGGAGAGTGCATTTTTCCTTTTATAGCGCATGGTGGTGGTTTGAGACGAGGTTTCTCTGTGTAACAGCCTTGGCTGTCCTGGAACTTGATTTTGTAGCCCAGGCTGGCCTCGAACTCATAAAGATCTGCCTGCCTCTGCCTCCCGAGTGCTGGGATTAAAGGTGTGCATCACCACATCAGCTACATACTTTCAATGGATAGAAACCTCAAGCATGTAGCTGAAGGTAGGACAAATGGATGGTATTGGGACTTGAACCTGGCAGTTTGGTGTCTCAAGTTACGCTCTCAATTACCTCTCTAAATGCTTTAAAATGAATAATGTGAAAATGGTTTATTGGATTTTCCCCATTATAAAAGTAAAACATGTTTACTCCAAATGGTGAAGTTGGCAAGTGGGTTTGGCTCAGGTAGAACACTGCCTAGTGTACATATGAGGCCCTCCCAATAAATAAAGATGAACATAAAGCAGAAACAGAAGGCCAGACTGCAGTCAAAACAAAAGGCTGTAAACAAGCTGGGCCTCTTACTCCCAGCTGTTTGGAAGGCTGAGGCAGGAGACTGGAAAATTCAGTGTAAGTTCAGAGTAATCCTGAGAAATGTAGCAAACTGTCTGAAGGCAGGAGACAGGGAATCCAAGCAGTTAGGGATTGGCCCCAGCAAGGCCAGGCGTGTCTAGTGAGTGACCTGGTTGTCTGGATTGCTGATGCTTCACAGACAAAGCCGGTCTGCTTGATGACCTTTAGATACTTGATCGGTTGATGGCAGAGGTCTGGCCCCAGGGGAAAAAGTCATCCATCTGTGTACCTGAAGAACTGTTTTCCTTGTTCTCCAGCCGTATAAAAGCACACAGCCCTTGCTGCTTGGATGATACCCTTTATTGGAACCTTCTCCCTTCGGGTGTATTTTTTTTTTTTTTTCTAAAAATATGCTGGTCAAACCCTCTGCCTCTAGAGGGCTTCATTCCTTGTCATCAGTGGGACAAAAT